GGGATGTGGACAGCATGGAGAGGGTCCAGAGGAGGGCCACTCGTATGATCAAGGGACAGCAGGGTAGGTCCTATGAGGAAAGGATGCGGGACCTGAACCTGTTCAGCCTTCAAAAGAGAAGGCTGAGGGGGGATCTTGTGGCCTGTTATAAACTGGTTGGGGGGATCAGCAGGCGCTGGGGGAGTCCCTGTTCCCCCGAGCGCCACAAGGAGTGACCAGGAACAACGGTCACAAGCTGGCGGAGGGAAGGTTTAAGTTGGACATCAGGAGGCGCTACTTCATGGTCAGGGCGGCTAGAGTCTGGAACCAGCTTCCAAGTGAGGTGGTGCAGGCTCCCACCCTGGGGGTTTTTAAGAGGAGGTTGGATGACCACCTTACTGGGGTCGTTTGACCCCAGTACTCTTTCCTGCCATGGCAGGGGGTTGGACTAGATGATCTGCTCAGGTCCCTTCTGACCCTAGAAACTATGAAACTATGAAACACATGTAACATTTTACTTGCCAAATGCACTATTGTCAAATCCCTATTGTCCCCCTTCTATTCAATGGGAAAGCACCAGGTGGATACTGGCTGAATAGCTAGGCTAGCTTGTCACCACAATGGCCGAGCCACCCTGTGACAGTTAGACTAGAGCACACAAATGACACTACATGGTGAATACTGGACTCTGAGTATGAGAGAGACCAATGACTCTCAGTATATCAAAATCTACAGCTGATGCAGACCAGCTGGCGGGGTGGGAGGGAGATGGGATGGGACAGGACACTACCAAACAGTTCACTGCATGGGATTATAGAAGCAAATTTGAAAGGATCAGTAGAGATGAATGAGCCAGGCTCAAGGGAAGGGGAGATTGCAGCAAGGTGCTGTAAATCATAAGCATGGCTAAATGGAGCAATTATTTGTAATGCTTCCCTTTAGGGGCTGGGGTGGGGGGGGAAGAGAACAGCCCAGCAGCAATATAACTTGATCCCATTTCATCCTGCTACAGAGTTCTCACTGTGCTGAGTGAGAGGGATTTACCCTCTGCCCTCAGGAATAACCTTGCAACCTTTCAGACTACTGGCGTGAAGCTGAGGATGTAAAGCCTGTTCATTAGGGCAGGAAAATGATTAACAGCGCACTAAGGGAGTGCAGCAGAAATCATATGTGCATCCGCTCGCTAGAAAATCCTTTACCTGTTTGCCCTTTTCAGGTCATTCACAAACTCCGCAGACTGCTGATGTCGGATTTCGCTGCTCTTCGTGAGCCTCTCTAAGGCACTCACTAACTCCTGCACTCTGGCTTTCAGTTTCTTCTCTCTGCATCAGGACACAAGGAATGAAGAAAAATCAGTTAACTGCACAATAGCAGTGTTTGGACTTGCGGGAGTTTCGACAGCATTCAGCCACATGCCTTCTGGGTCAGGGTTATGGGAAGAAGGCATTTCCTTTATGCAACTCTGATAATGCAAGATTCATTTCTCAGTGAAATTGCTTTAAACTCGATTTAAAAATGCAAAGTAGCAACAAACTCACCAATTACAAATGGAGGACAAAAGGTCATGTGGGCAAACGTAGGTCAAAATTCTGTGACCACAGGAGTCGTCTTATTCACATGACACCTCATTAAAAGATAATAAACAAGAGTAGGATGCGCAAGGGTCACAGTTAAAGAGAGCAATCGGTGGAAGATATAGGTTCATGCCATGTTCTGTGCACTACATGTGTCATGGCAACTCAGCTAAAGAAACTGTAAAGAATTTAAGCTTCAAGGTACTATGTATATAGAAAAGGTATATAACCATTGTGCATGCTGGATTACTAATCAAGGCAATTTGCTAGTCAAGCACTTGCTTGTTTTGACTTAAAATTTTTCTTCAGTAGAGGGAAAAAAAAGAGAAACTACAGGAAGACTCAGTGTATAAGAGGAAGACCTCAAACAGGGAAGCTTCCCCAGCATCCCAGATGGCACAGAAGCAAAACATCAATCCTAGGCACCCAACAGCCTGAGTTTGCTGCTCTGGATTAGGAATGCATCAGTTCGTGGAGCAGAATGAAGCAGGATTGTCGTGAGCAGAACCAAGTCACAGCATAAAGACATGACCCACGGCAGACGTCGTTCTCCTGCAGCTCTGCACAATTCTGTGCTTACAAAAGCCCCTTTGCAGTTGGGACTTATGAAATAGTTGAGAAATGGTTTATAAATCATGTTTCAAAATATATTTTAAAAGGTTTTAACACAGTTACCACAACAGATGTGCCCCAGAATAAGATGGATCATTAATAGTGATTAGGAATGATTAGGAGCCTTTTTTGTTTGGCAGTGGGAAATACAAGGGATGAAGAAACAATAATAGGAAATGGAGAGTAAGGGCAAGAGGCAGCAAGAGAAAGAGTTCAGGAATTTCTTCAGCCAGGAATCTTCCAGGCCAAATTTCTGGCAGAAGTACTCTTAACCCTCCCTGAGTACCCTTCCCTTGCCTGATTTGCTGCTTTGCTTTCTGCTTCCTGAACTGTTAACTGAGGATTTTGAATAGGTTTAAAAAAAATAAATCCTAACATTGGTAAAAAGGCAGCACAAAATACATGAGAGTGAGCATGTCCACAGAGTATATAGTTAAATGATCGGACGCTATCTTTCCACAGGACTCCCTGCCTCCATCAAATGCATGAGATCAAGCTGCTTTTTGGGTGAACCAGGGTTTTGCAACTGTGCTGTGTAGACCCTCTCCCCCCTGCCTTGTTTGTGGTAGAAATTGTGAACGTGGTAACTAATGAGGCAGAGGATTTCAGAAGGGAAAGGGCAGTTCCTTGGTTAAGGCAGCTGGAAGCCGCCTGGGAGAACGGCGGTCTGTCCTTAACCCTGCCAAAGTTCCTGTGTGACACTTGGCAAGTCACTTAAAACCAAACTTCTCATAAGCAGTCAACTAATGGTCTATTTCTCCTCTTCTGAGGGCCCAGTCTGAGACCCTAGGGCCTGATCTGCAGAAATGTTGAGCACTCAGAGCTATAACTGAAGTCAGTGGGAGCTGTGCTTTATACAGATAAAGTGCTAGATAAATAAGTGTTCTTAAAAATCAGTCCTTGGGGTCTCAATTTGAGTGCCAAACATCAGTGGACCCTTTTGACCCCATACCTCAGGTCCCCATCTATAGAATGGGCATAATAATATCATCTTAAAGGGTGTTCAGAAGATGAATTAATGTTTGTGAGGCATTTAGGGCTAAATCCAGGAAGGTTCTTAGGTGTGTAACTGCAATCTTAAACACCCACATCCAAAATCTGGATTCTCAAAACATTTCTTCAGCTGCCACTTAACCCTGCCCAATCTGCACTGGACTCACTGAAATTTCTTGCTGCTAGTCATGTGCACAACAACACTTATCTTCAGCACTTAAACTGAAAAACTGGGTGCTATCCCGGGGGGTGGGGAAGGATAACAGACAGATGGACAGGAAAGTGGTGCAGTTACACCCCCACTTTGATCCCTGCTCCACCCAAATTTTAAAAGCAACTGCCTTGCAGTAGGCAGCATCCCTGAGGGAGTCAGCTGACATCATGGCTCATTATCATCTACCTGATCCCTTCTAAACTCTCCACTCCACAGGTGTTAACGACCCTCACTCCTTTTTAATGGTCTTTAATGGTTCTGCTAATCAAGGCAGAGCCTTTGTGCTGCAAGTCTGCTGTCTGTTACCTGTTTCTGCTATTTAGCTCCTATTTCACAGCTCTGCAAAATGCTTTTAACACTACCAGAAACATTAACTCAGGTGTGGAAATAATGTTCAGTGAAACACTGGATGCACTGTCAAGATGCTCAAGAAAGCTAGATTTTGTTTTATGACTCTTAAAAAGACGTCCATTTAATTCTAAGGGCTCCAGAAGTAATGAAACATCTTTTGATTATTTTTGCCTTGTTTGTTTTGTTTTTATACAGGATATATGAATAGCAAATTAATGCCCATTCCAATAAAGTTATATTTATTTTTGCTCGGATCTTAAACTGAACAATATACCCCCAAGCCCCTGGCCTATTAAAGTTTCTAGTTTCTTTTTAACTAGGGAAAAAAGTGTTGTGCTATATGTGATGATGCACCATGCTATCTGCATCCCTCTGTTCAAAAAACTAGATCTGCTTTTGCTAGATGGCTATACCCCAGCAAGGTTTGTAAAAAGACATCCTGCTTATCATGACTGTGAGGCTTAGTCCAGCAGTGGTTTTTGGAACATGTTGAGTAGACCGAGTCGTGCACAAAACAGTGAGGAGGAAGAAGAGGAGATATCGCCCTTTTATCCATATGCCAGTAAGCACTACCCTGAGGGATGCAGAAAACCACTACAGAAATGCTTCTGTTTCTGTCTAACTGGGAGGAGAGTGCATGAGAGAGAGTGTGAGAGAGGCCGAGGTTATTTTATAGCCCAGTGATTAGAGTACTCGTCTGGGATGTGCAAGAACCATGTTTAAATCCAGGGCTTAGGGCTCTCTTGAAAGGTGGGAGATCTGCGTTCAAATCCTGCTACAAACCAGAAAAAGAGGGATATAACTGTGGGCCCCCCTTATTCCTAATGACTGCTCTTATCACTGGGCTGCTGGGTAAAATGGGTGTGACCTGGCTTAACAGCTCTGCCACAAAAGGCTTGTAGCTGTGAGTTCGGAGCAGCAGGAAATGCCTCCCTTCCACGCAGATGGAGTTCAGTTCCCATGTCCCTGAAAGGGGCAAGGCTTAAGTCCTGAACCCTGATGCTCCTGCTCTTATGCCAATGCATTGTTTGGGGGGGGAGGGCTGGGAAACGACCTGAGAGCTGTGGAGTCCACTGGGCAGCATGTAGGTGACAGATGTTGCAGTACTGGATCTAAACCCTTGTGAGCCAGCAGAGCCCCTTGTGTTTAGTGAGTGTATATGTCCCAACTTTACAGACTACAATCATTCCTGCTGTTATTTCCTTTTGTTAGCCCTGAAGAACCAACACAGGGGAGGGGGTGAGAGCTGGGTGCTATTTCATCAGGTGCATTACTAAGTTTCAATTACAGGTTTCCCTCGCTTTAGGTGGGTTCTATATGTACAGATTCACTCTTATGAGATGACCCTTTTTATACCAAAAATTTGTTGTATGTGAGGTGAATTCACTCTTATGCGAACGGGGTGGTGGAAGCCTGCAGTCAGCTGCTTTGTGTGGTGCATTGTGAGAGTGACATGCACCAAAATATGGTCTCCTGTGTGGATCTGTGCTCCTTGCTTGTTGCCTGTGAGACGTGTTTCTGTAGTTGCCATCCCCATTACGGTAGTGCCCTGTGCCCGTTGTCTGTTGTTGGTGAGTACCAAAATTGTCTTGTAAAAGTGGCAGAAATGGGTCTGGGGGTGAGTGCAGCTGAGGTCTTGGAACGTCTCCCTATTTGTTACAGTGTAAAGTAGTTTCCCTTTATGCAAATTTGAGTTATGCGCCATTTTCCAGGAATGCATGTACAGCATAAAGCGAGGGAAAGCTGTACAGGGTAAATCAGTAATGCCTGTAAAACCCTCCTGCCCACACACATCTGTGGTGGCAGAACTTTAACATGTGGGGATTGCAAAGATGATCCTTAATCTGAGGACAACTGTTATGAAGAGGCACATTACTGAGGCCATAATTTGGCTTGCAGAACTGCTCCTGCTAGAGTGGAAGTACTAGAAGGGAAGTACTCAGTTTGATGTCCCATTTGCAAGGCTGAGAAGAGGAAGGAAAAACCCATCTTTTTACTTGAAAACTGATTATTTTTGATACATAATCATTAAGAGCTGACTGGCAAAGAGGAGCACGTCTCCAGGCTTTCTATTCACACCTCATCTATCCTTCAAGGGAGTTGAGAACTGAAGCCCCTGAAAGAACCATCTGAACCAACACACCACGCTGCGGCCTGGGGAATCTTCCAGGATCCTCCAAGACCTCGGTGAGATTTACCAGCCTGCAGTTCCAGCGCTGGTCTGACAGTGGCAGCATTTTATAACTATGGAAAGAACCACCTAATATTAAGCTAATTCAATGTTAGAACTATAAGTCCCTCTTTTCAGCAAGAGACAAGTTTTGACAAAAAGAAGTTAGGGAAAACTGGTTAGGTAAAAATGGAAACAGCCTAGAACCCTAAAAACTCTTTACTGAATAGCTTCATGCATAGGCTACAAAATGTATTTGTATAATTCAAGTACTTCAGTTGTTTTTCTCCCCCCCCCCACCCCCCCAGGGGGTAGGTGATGGCAGATGATCATAAGCCTCATCAACTTTCTCTCTGGCTCTAGGGTACATTTTTTTGAACATACTTTAATGTAAGCACACAGCATAGT